ACTCTGACTATCCCTAAACAATGGAGGGAGAAACAACTCGAGGCCAGGAAAATTATGCTGAGGCTCATGTAGCTGGTTCAATAAAGAGATGTAGTAGCTTAAACTAGGCAGTAGGATTCCAGAGGTATGAAGCAGATTTATTTGCTTAAATTTGCTGGTGGACTAGATATGGGAGGTAAGAGATGGTGAATGACAGCTAAGCATTGATCACGGTCAGAAGAAGGGAGAGAGAAAAAGTTACCCTAAGTACGAAGTACTATGATGTACTATGATGGGTATCACATTCTGACTTCTACATGCACTGGTTCTTCTGAGAAATCCTTACTGAGAGGGAATAAAAGAAAGTACATGTAAACAGGGAGGGTGTGGCTCTGGGAGACTGCCCTTTAGTGTTTTCCACTAGGTGGAGAGGTCACACGTATGGAAAATGTGATGCAGTGGATTTTATGAGTATACGGATGCTGTTTGCCATAGCCAGCCTCCAGGATTTCCCACAAAGACCCTTGTATAACACTTGTCTAGTCCCTCCTGCACCCTCGTGACCAACAGAATATGGCGGAACTGATGTGCTTATTTAACTAATATTTGTTGAACATATAGTGTATACCAGGCACTGTTACAAGCCATTAGGAATCAATACTGAAATAGTGAGTCGGTGAAAGTAGAAGAAACAGTAATGTGTCATATTTTATCATGTGACAATTATAACGAGGGTATACATTGCTGAGGAAAAATGTAAAATTCTGGGTGATTGTTCACATGAACAGTATTTGTATTATTCCAGACTTAGCACACTGCTCTGCACTTAGTAGGTACTGTAAATGCTACAATGGATTGATTGAACAATAGAGGCTTTTCTATATTTATAACTTAATCAAAATAGGATAAATAAAAGGGAGGGTTCTGGTCCTCATTGAACATGTGGCTCTGCATGCTGTACTTCATTCACTTATTGCCAATGAAGCCATAACTATTCAGACTTTATAGATGTCTAAGACTTCACACTTAGAATAAATGCAAACCAGCCTGTACCTGTCATCTCAGGATGATGACAGGACTTTAGAAGAGCAGTTATTTTGGAACTAGTTAAGTATTTGCTCTATTTGGCATTGATCATCCCTATCAAGCATTTTGTTTGTTTTCCAAGGACTATTATTTGTTGATATGACCTTTTCTAAAAAGGACAAGGATGATAATGGCAATCATCACTGAGTAGGGGAATCAATAAAGTTATATCTCTGTCACACACATATACACACAGGGCTTTTAAAATCTTACTAAAAGATTGCATTAACAAATCATAAATGTTCTACATAGGTAAATATGAGCAAGCTTAACTGATTTCCTTAGATATATATTAAATCTAAAGGCTGGACTCAATTTAACCAGTGAGTTCCAGTTAACACATTTGGTGCATTGTTAGTATAAAAATTTGCTTCATAGGATAAATCATAAGAAGGACAAGAAACCTAGAGAAGCAATGACTTGCAAAATCTTAAGTGGCTGGAAAAATAACGGAAGCAAAAATTAACCTGTCCTAATTTTTAAGCAGTTAATAATGATCTACATGAAGAGGTGGAAAGAAATGCTTTAAATCACAGGACACAATAAATTCAGAGTCAGTACCAAGCAGGACTGAGCAAACATATAAAAGGAAAAAAAAAAGATTTGACTTACAGGTCAAGAAATAACAAGATGAGATAAACTTGAAAAGGTTCAAGTCATATATAAAAATTATCAAGAATACAAACCTATTCAGCTGGAGAAGGATCAATGAAAAGTTGCAAGAAAGAAAAAAAAAGATTAGGTACCAAATGTACAGTGAATTGAATAAGAAAGATAAGGTGATATTAGCAAATAAGAAAGGTACCATTGGCTAACAGATGGAATAACAACTTATCATGGAATCATACATGTGAACTCTTTCTACATGCCACACACAATTTGCAATCTCTAGAGGGAGTGTGCAGAATGTGAAGAAGAAACCAGGGGGAAAATTAGCCAAAACATATTTTTTAAAGGCATTTTAAGTTACAAAATGGCAGGATCTTGATACTGATGAGGGTCCTGAGAACATCTCAAACATTCAAAAAGCATGTAACTTTCTCATAAAATGCATCAAACAAGGCTTCTGCAGAGTTCATGTCTCAAGAGCAAATGCCACTCTGAGATGAAGAGAGTAGCCACATCCCCTTCTTCATTCACTAAGGACACACACCCTAAATCTAGGACCCTTGACTCTAATTACTGACTTGGGGAAGTAATGAATTATATATAACTATACAACAAGCACCTTTGGAGTCATACACAAATAGTTTTACTAGTGGATCTTCAAAGTCACAGTGAAATTTTCTGGTGTGATTTTTAGAAGGCAAACTTCTAGGCTAAGGGGCTATTTTAATAATCATTCAATATTATTTGGATATAAGCAGCCTTCAGTCTACACAAGAGCTTAATATCAAGTGTATCATTCTAAGGAGATACACTATATTTTGATCCAAGACAGCAAATAGAATGATGGGGCACATCCAAGGGTAACAGATTAACAATTAAATTACATGTGAGGCAAAAACAAAAATAATGTTTTGTATAATCAAAGCACTCCTGAAGGTTTCGGTGTAAATATAAGGCAAGGAAAAGGACAGGGTGATGGCCTCTCAGTCTCTTCCTATCTCAGGATGTTTCTAATGGTAGCGCTCATCCTGTAAGACCGTTTAATTTGCGTTGTTTTACTCTCTTAACTGAAAAGCAAAAATGCTTCATAATGTAACATAAGAAACCATTCTTCTTCAGCTGAAGAGCAAGTAATAATTATAGTTCTACAACTGAGTGGCAGAACTTCATCAATTACACAAACCAAACAGCCTGACTTCTTTTTATGATGACGACAGAGCTCATAAACAAATCAACGGAGCTTTCATTGCACTGACTACACTTAAAAAAATATATGGAGTAGGCATGTTGACAAATGCCTCTATGTTTTGCGGCTCCTCCAGTGGAACTGACTCTCTTCTTAAAGAACATGAACGTGCATTCCCTACCTCGTTTCTCAATAAAAGAAATCTGCTCCAACTCTGGAACTCGGTGGAAAAGGAAGAAGCATTAACTACATTGGAGAAGATCATACCAATGTATAATCCCAGTAATTTATATGATTATATCACAGTTGCAATTGAGTAAAAGATACCAAAGTACTAAAAATAAAATAAAGATAAATTGGCCCATATCTCTTAATATAAGACTGAGAAGACTCACAGATCAACGTATATGATTTAATCGAAGAAAAGCAGTGTGTTCTTTTAACACGGCCTCACGTCACTTATATTTCTCTTTTAGAGAATGCTTTGATTCAAACCCCATCTTAGCTAGGGCTGTTTTACTTTTACCTTATAGATAAGATACTCCATGGCAATTTCCATTAGGCTTTTTGTCCAAAGATAGTATCAACTGAAGGTGAAGTATTTCTAACTGGCACCTTCCGCCCATGGTAAGGCTAACCTGAGTGAAATCTTTCTCACTGCTCTCCCCACAGAGAAGGCAGAGTACCAGCCAGATAGTGAGAATCAGAACAGAATGCCAAGGCATCCATGCTAACAAAAGTTATGTTGCTCATGTACTCCTGTAGTAGGAGGACATGGAAGGACATGTCCGAGTTAGCTAGGGAGAAGTACAAATTACAAACACAAAGTGCCAAGGTCAAAGACAAAACCTGAAGTATAAGAAAGGGAAGCTATTGGATATCTTTCATCAACAGAGTGACTTTGTTATTTCACTCTATCACCCCTCAGGAACCACAGTTAGAGATAGAGGAGCAAACAAAATTTTCTGAGTCCAGTTTGAAGACAACCTGTTAGCTCTAATACTCTCCCAGGGTTGGAACGAAGCCTGATCATAAGGTCACTAATCAGTGATCTACACTCTAGAAGTGAGTCTACATTGCTTCACTGCTTTTCCAGAGCATCTTTTAGAATTAAAAAATGATGTCTGTGGTTAACGTGGCATACCATCTTCAGCGACTTTTTTACGTTGAAATACCAGGGTGTTCTAGCTGACTCCACTTAGGATCAAGGTATTTAGTGGGAATTGCATGGAAAATCTGCTCTGAGATTCCTTAAGCGTCTTTAAGGAACTGAATAAAAGGAATATAGACAATAGAATCCAGTCAGTTTCACTTGCTTGTGGCAAGACTTATTTTTAAAACCACACCATCTTTTCTCCATGCTTTCTGATTCTTATTTAAAAGTACTATACAAAATAGAAAATAATTAATAAAACATGACAAGGTTAAGATACTAGTCTAGGCATGATAAAAGATCAAACAGTGGCGGAAAAAAAGTGGTCAAGCACACAAATTGATCCAGATATCAAATAACATTAAAGAATCAAAAAAGCCTTTCATCTGAATTTTTAGAATTCTGTAAAGCATTAATTGTCCCCTATAAGAACTAAGAAGTCTCATAAAGGAGTAATTCTGAGCAGCCAACATTGCATATAAAGCTCCTGTCACCCTTAAGATTGCAGATCAAAAACCACAGGCAAAGGGATCTTTTCCACTTATTTCAGGAGACTGTGGAGTGTCATGGAAAAAGCACTCTTCTTTTGAGCTCTGAACTGTTGCTTAGTTGGTGGAGCTCAGGTAATTTCCTCTGAACATCACTTTTTTTTTTCACCCATAAGGCAGAAATTATCAGAACCACTAACATATTTTTAGACAAATATTGTATGGGTATAAGAGAAAATTAAAGCATATAAAAATGCTATAAAACTGAAAAGCACTACAGAAATATGAGTTGCTACTACTTACCAGAGAAGACAATCACATTTTCGTGTTCTGCAGAATTCTTGATGTTGGCATTCCTCAATAATATTGAGCAGTCTGGCCCCTATGACATCTTGGTTCTTCTAACCATCACCATCTTATCCTTTGACCACTTAAGGATGCTAGACCATTCATCCTTAGCCTGTCCACACAAGCAAATGCCCATCCTCATTAGCACTCTTCACAAACTAATTAGGCTTAGCAAGCCAAAATGTACCAGCAGGTGATTATGTGAGTGGCTTAAGTGTCTCCTGGAGAGTGATCTCATCTCTGCTGTCTTCTGAGAGATTGTGACTTGTGGATGGTTGGACTCCATGGTATACAGGAAACCTAAAGTTTGAGTTGGATCCGTCTCCATCCCTCTATCACTTTGTTCCAATGAAACCTGCTCAGTTCCACAGTCACAGACTGCTCTTCTGACCCAGTCAGCTGTCTCAAAATGATTGCCCAGAATCAGATGATATTCCACAGAGAGGTGCCAGAAAACTCCACTTCTGTGAGGAAGGAAAGCAGAATTAGAGAACCTATGTTCAATGTCAACAGCAGCTCTAGTTTCTTGAGCACCTACTATGGACCAGTCACTGTGCTTCCACACGTGAGGCAGGATAATAATTTAGAGTATTATTTTAGATGTTTCTTTTCTGATATTTTGTCCCTTTTAATGCCCACTTTGGGATTTTCAAGTGGCTCAGTGGTAAAGAATCTACCTGCCTATGCAAGAGATGCAGTTTTGATCCCTGGGTTGGGAAGATCCCCTGGAAAAGGAAATGGCAACACACTCCAGTATTCCCACCAGGAAAGTCTCATGGACAGAGAAGCCTGACAGGCTACAGTCCATGGGGTTGCAACAGTTGGACATAACTGAGCGAATAAGCAACAACAACAAATGCACACTTCTCCCAACTTTCTTTCAAGGGTTGATGACAGAATTTCTGTTTGCTTTCTTCAAAGAAGTTTGGGAAGAGTGATTGTGTTCAGAATTTCCACACCTACTAAGCAAATAAAGCTGGATGCTCCTGAGAGAAACATGGGGAAAGGTATTGGTACATATAGACTAAACAACTAGCAGAGGCAGGGTACTCTCCAGACCTATATCAGTAAAATGTTTTCTTTGTGCTGGGTAAGAAACAAAGAAAGAAAATTCTGCGGATCCTGAGAGCAGAGAAAACCTACCCCCTGGGCAAAAGGGCTGGATATGAACTTCTAAAGGATATCACCAAATACTCAGCACTTAAGCTGAGCAATGAAGAGAGAATTCAAGAATCCTGTTATCTGAAGGGGTCACATATACTGTGAGGCAATGGACATTTAAGAGGCCATATGGGTTAATCTATGACCTTAGACAAGACAGCTAACATTAACCCAAAATCTTACCACTGCATGATATTCTCAAAGAGTGCATATTGCTGCTCAAGGAAAGTGAGTATTTCAGGTACAAAGGATACTGAGTTTTTATCTTTGTCTCTCTCCTAGCCCAAGAGAAGAAGGGTTCAGAGTCAGAAATGACCAGTTACAGCAAATGAAGAAAGCTTGTTTTCTTCCACCCCTGGATTTATGAGTCCAGATTCATTCACACTACATGTTTATTGCTTCAATTAATCCCTATGACAGCATTATGAATTACAAATTACTCCTTCCCCTGTTATAGATGAGAAAACCTAGATCAAGATATTTAAGTCACTTCTCAAGATAGCCCAGCTAGTTTATGATGGATCTGGCTTCATTCCTAAGTTTTTCTGACTCTAAAGCTATCTCATCTTCAATTCTATAGCATCTATACCATGAGGTTGAGTAGGCTGGGTGAAATTCAGTGTTGGCAATTACACTACTGATTTTTCTCAAAGGAAATGTGAACCTGGAATGCATACCTGCCCCTTCAAAGTGAAAAGAAATTCTGGGGTTTGGGGTCATAAAAGTCAACACTCCTGAACAACATACTTCATAAACATTTGTGTTTGCCTTTCATAGCTGTACTTACAATTTCAAAACACCACCTAGATTCTTCGTAGGCATTTTACATCCTAATTTTTCCACATGTGTGGGCTTGGTGGTGGTTCAGAAAGGACAAAGCTCATGAGGGATAAAGATCCATCTGCAGTCATCAAGTAATTTTCTGAAGATTAGACACTTGGCTGGTATAAAGAAAACTTTGGCAAGACCCAGAAGTAGAGAAGGCAGCTGGGAATAGTTTACGGCTACTCGGGAGAGCACCACGTGAATCAGAAGGAGGCTGACAAGGAGGGGCTGCTCAAAGAGCTGCCAGTAGATATTGGCACTTGCGTACTGAGACCAAGGGAGAAAAGAAGCTGCAAGATAGAGTGCCAGCTGGAATAGCAGGGCCCAGTGAGAGGACGGAGATGAGTGCTTGCGGAGGGTACAGAACACTCACTTCTGAAACGTGCAAAGAAGGCTGATGTGTGGATATGGAAACAGATGCAGGACAATAACACAATCAAGCAAAATGGACAGCTGGAATGAACAAAGAGAAAGAGGTCAGCTTCCGTGATCTTAAGAAACCTAGCCAGTTAGCATATTCCATAAAGGGAGCCGTCTAGTTCATTTGGTACCAGTTACACTAGATCATTAGGTAAAGAAAGGAAAGTTTAATTACTTAGTCATGTCTGACTCTTTGTGACCCTATGGACTATAGCCCACCAGGTTCCTCTGTCCATAGAATTCTCCAGGCAAGAATACTGGAGTAGGTAGCCATTTCCTTCTCCAGGGGATCTTCTGAACCCAGGGATCAAACTCAGGTCTCCAGCATTGCAGACAGTTTCTTTCTTCTCTGAGCCACCAACCAATCGCTGGTGATTTAGCAGTAAAGAATCTGCCTGCCCATACAGGAGACTGCCTGCAATGCAGGAGACGAAGTTTTGATTCCTGGGTCAGGAAGATCCCCTAGAGAAGGAAATGGCAACCCACCCAGTATTCTTGCCTGGGGAAATCCCATGGACAGAGGAGCCTGGCGGACTACAGGCCATGGGGTTGCAAGAGTCTGACATGACTTAGTCACTAAACCACCACCAAAGAAAAGAAGGACTGGAAAACAAGATCATTATGTAAAAAAGAGAAAGACTGTACAGAGATACATATTAAAGAGCAGACCAATCTGATTAATCTAAGATCTGATGCTTTTAAAATGAATGACTTGGCAACTCTATTTTAACCAATTTTCTCATAAGTAATTGGATCTGATAACAAAGAAATGATGGTTTTATTATTACTATTAAAAACTAAGATTGAATTGGCACTCAATATATGCACCAAGCACATTAAATCAATTCTCATAAACAATAGTTCTAAAAACTGAATGAGGTACCATAGTTGAAGTTCTGTTTTAAGGTGCTAGACTCCTGTTTTGTGTTGCCGTTCAGTTGCTAAGTTATGTTGGACTCTTTTGCAACCCCATGGACTGTAGCCCACCAGGCCCTCTGTCCATGCGATTTCCCAGCAAGAATACTGCTATGAGTTGCCATTTCCTTTCCCTTCTCAACCCAGGTATTGAACTTGCATCTTCTGCTTGGCAGGTGGACTCTTTACCATTGAGCTCCTTTAGTTGCTCAATAAATTGGAGCTACCATTAATACTGGCATTGTAATTATTCTTTTCACCTAGTTAGTCCCTAACCTCAAAGATACTCTTAACACATATCTATTACTAACCTAATGCCAGATAAGATTGGAATGAAGGATTTCAATTCTAATTCTAGCCTAAATTTAAGACAAATACTCCTTTTCAAGGTGATCCAAAACATTTAGACTGACTACAAGCACCTTGTATCAGGCTGGATTCATACCTGTTATATACCCCAAGTTAGGATTTCCCATTTACGTACATAGTCATCTCACTGATGTCCATATAACATTTTCTTCCTACTATCCACCAAGTAAAAACACATTCTTTACTATTCCAATCCTACACACATTTTTACTAAAAGGCGTGTGCACGTGTGCTGTCAGAAGGTTATAGATTGTTTATAATCATTATACTTTTCGGCATGTATAAGAAATAAAGTGTTCTCCCTTTAATTTCCGAATGTTTAGCTCCTTTTCATCATGAATTGCCACCTCCTCAGAAAAGCCTCCCCAACCAGTCAATCTAAATTAAGTTTCCCCTATTAATCCCCATCTCAAGGCCTTGGCAATTGCTTTTGAAATACTTATCAAAATTATTTCTCAAATTTTATATGCTATTCTCTTTGTCTGCTTACTTTATATTTGTCCTTAGCACCAATTACAATGTAGATTCTATGAGGGCAAGGGGCCACATTCATCTTCATCAGCATTCAGAAATATTTACTCAGTTCATACAGTGCCAGGGGTTGTTTCCAGGCATTGGGACACAGCACTGAACTGATGTTCCAGCCATGAGAAACAAACAAAGGGCAAAAACATGACAGGTGATGACGCTGTTAAGAATCTACAATAGCAGGGGTTACACATGGGTCCTGTGCTGTAGCAACGAGAAGTTGCTGACATGGTGGAGTCCTTTTCATCAAAGGTGATTAAGGAATGGCTTCCTTGGTGGCTGAGACAGTAAAGAATCTGTCTGCAATGCAGGAGACCTGGGTTTGATCCCTTGGTTGGAAAGATCCCCTGGAGAAGGGAATGGCTACCCACTCCAGTATTCTTGCCTAGAGAATTCCAAGGACAGAGGAGCCTGACAGGTTATACAGCCCATGGGGTTGCTAAAGAGTTGGACATGACTGACTGACAATTTCACTTTTTCACTTTCCTGATAAGTGGACCCCTGATGAAAAAAGGATGAAGAACTTTGCAGACAGAGGACACAACAGGTGCCAAGACTGGGAGGGGAGGACCGAGAAATCAGGCATTGTAGCCGGAGCAAGCTGGAAAAGAAGAGAAGGGAGAGGTGATACTGCGAGGATACAGAGCACTACAAGGGCTCCCCTGGGGGCTCAGACAGTAAAGAATCCGCCTGCAGTGCGAGAGACCTGGGTTTGAGCCCCGGGTGGGGAAGATCCTCTGAAGGAGGGCATGGCAACCCACTCCAGTATTCTTGCCTGGAGAATCCCCATGGACAGAGGAGCCTGGTGGGCTGAAGTCCATGGGGTCGCCCAGCGATAAGCACAGAACAGCACAGAGTGCTCTGAAGCCCCATTGATAAGGCTTTTCACTTTGCTCTGGCTGGGGTGGGAGCAACATTGGAGAGTTCTGAATAGAGAATGATAGCATCTGATTTATGTTTTAAAAGAACTGCTTTTGCCTGTTGTGTGGAAAATACTCTGGCAAAGATTGGTCAAGGGTGAACAGCTAAGAGATTATTGCAGGAAAGTGAAAGATCATGAAGGCATTAAGTGATTATGATAGAATTATACAGAGATTGCTGTAACACTGATGGACACTGGTCAGATTCTGTATTTATTTTTAAAATAGAGATGATTAGATTTGCTGATAAAATGGATGGCAGGAGGACAGAATGGAAGGAATCAAGGGTGACATTTTTGGCATTCACAGTTCAAAGATTAAAGTTG